TCTTTTTTATTCTTTTTCAGCAAAGAATCATGTCAAAACTCTGAGCAAGTATTTTCGGCTCTGTTAGAGTTTGGGGTACCCATACATCGCAGTAGCTTACGTACCCAATCTTCTTTAAATGATCCTGTACTGTACATTTTGGAATAGTTATTCGGTTTGATAGATCCCGAACTGTGTGTCTTGGATTTTCAGCACTACCTTCTTTTAACAGGTCTTTGTTTACAGAGGATGGTCACCCAGAGCAGTCATCTTCGAAACTGAAATTTTCACGCTGAAACTTCTCAAACCACCTTCTGAACTGTGTCATCGGATACAGCCCTTTTTCCATACGTAGCGCAGGTTTTATGAGTCGTCTGACTAACATGTTTTTCCTTTTTTAAAATTAAAAGCATAATATGACGAAAAGGAACGTTTGTGTCCTCCATTCGCACTGAAACAAAAGTTATGCAGCAACACATGCTAGAATTATGCAACATGAGAAGAAAAGACAATGTTTTGAACATCCGCTTTTATCAAAGTCATTCTATACCAGCAGTAACAAAATAATTAGAAGAAAACGCGCTTCAATTTGAAAAACTGCGCAACTTTTGGAATGACCCAGTATTTTTCCTTTCTTATAATAAGTATATTAGGTAGCTGGAGTTAAATTTTATGTATTTGCCATTCTATTAAAATAATTGGTTGCGATTCTGAATTTTCTGTCTCACCCACTGTATTTCATAGAACTTTAAATGCTCACGCGAGCTGAGAAATAGTTCTTAGTGTCTTGGGTCGGTTTCAGGTCTCCCTTCTTTCTTTCTGTTTTAGAAATACCTATTTGAAAGAGGTGTCACATGTTTCATTAGTTGTGGTTCATACTTCTTAGTTCAACCCATGAATAGCCTAGAGTTTGGTGCGCGAAAACCGAAAATTTGCAGATTAACTCCTAAAAAACTTTGTGGTTGACAGCCTGCTCTTCACCGGAAGCCCTACCTGTAATATAACCAGTCGATAAACACATAGTTTGTGTATGTACACACGTATTATATGTACACATTACAGATGTTAGATAAACTGTTTTCGAACTTCAAAGCGCAAAAGAAAGCCATATTTTACTAATAATATCGTAGGAAAAGGAGATGTGTTTAATGTCTTCCAAAACAAACCCACTTATAAATGTATAAGGTATTTCCCGCCTTCTTGGCATGCCTTCGTAGTGTAGTGGTTAGCACGCTGGCCGCGTATTCCAGAGGTCCGTGGTTCGATTCCCGGCGAAGATGTTGCTCATTTTTCTCCTGCTTCCCCCCCCCCCCAACAAAAAAAAAATTCTCTTCAGTGGCGCCCGAAATAAAAGGGTGGTGGATGATGATTCTCCACACCCAGGATTTGGCGATTTGGGTTCCCTAAAAGCCCCAGTCGCCCTTTAATAAGGTATTTCTCCCGCCTTCTTGGCATGCCTTCGTGGTGTGGTAGTCTGTACGCTGGGCGCGTATTCCGGAGGTTCGTGGTTCGATTCTCGGCGAAGGTTTTGCTCATTTTTCATCTCTTCTGCTTCCAAAAAAACCTAATGTCTCTACAAATGGATCCACTTAATTCCAACATTGCGTTGTTCTGGGTTAACCGTACTTCTGTTGCGCTTTTTGCGTCCATGTGTATATGCATGTATGCGTATGTAATATAAAATTTTGATTTGTAATATTCCTTAGTTTCGTATCTTAAATTTTGTTACTCCCTTTTCCTTTCATAAAAGTCGCAGGAAGTGTACACTTAATCTTTCTGAAGTGGGTCATATCCCAAATTAATAGTTGTCACATGATTTTCATGTAGCACTAGTGTCACAGACTTAGTATATAATAATATAAGTGAAACTAAATCTCAGTTCTGTATTTAATAGTATTCCTTGTCTTAATTTTAAGGTCTAATCAAATTAGGGTTATTGCACTCCTTTTTATGAACAAAATTTTCTAACTAGCCAAAATTTGAGCGCTGATGCGCTTAGCAATATAATTATCATTCAGCAAATTGTTACAATTTATACATTCGTAACCTACAGAGATAACTAATTTACATATACATATTATACCAATAAAGATACGAAGATTCTTTCAGATAAAAAGAAACTGGAGAAGTCCAGTTGGAAAAATTCTCAAAACGCAGCATCTCTGAACAATATAATACAATATGCCATCAGTCCCCGCACGTTTAATATAAATGTTATTCTGTTACTTTTTTCAAAAAAGATGTTGCATATTTTGAAGATTGTTTAATTTTCCCCCATTAAATCAGTTTTTATCTTCACTCCGTTTAATTTTTTATTTATTACTGATGAAAGATCCTCCTCCTCTCAATAACACATGTCAACGACGTTACAATATTCATATTAAAATCCAAGTAAGTGGCGTAAAAAGAGTCTCACTTTAATTATATCGGATAAATTACACTGGAAAAATTTTAGTGAAACCCCGAGATAGAAAATCTATGTGTTGTTTATGTAAGACTTATCTGATATAGCGAGATTAAAAATGATTAAAAAATTAAATAGAAAGAAGCTAGCAGGCGTCTCATTCAAAATAATAAGTTGCACTTATCCTTTGAGCTTATAAAAAAGTCATATTAACAAGGGAGATTAAAACAGTTTCCAGTTTTTGTCTAACTTCTTGTAGACGTTGGAAAAATAACTCACAGTGCAGAGATTAAACATCGTGCTAAAAAAGTGCTAAAAATTATCTAGTGATTATGTCTGAAAATGAAGCACGACAAAGTATTAATCCGTTTTAATATCAAAAACCTTGGAGGAAAAAAGACGCTGCGCATAACGAAGGATTAATCGGAGAAACAAAAGTTGAAAAAAATGTAATACTGACTGGTTCTTAAAAAAAAAGTAGATGCGTGAGGGGAGAGAGGGGGCACAAAAACTACTGGGTAAAATTTGAGTTTAAATACTCGTATCTGGGGACGATTAAAATTTGCTGCTGATGCGACTCATTTTGCAGATAGGCTTTTTACCGTTATCTATTGTGTACACAGCTCAGAGCAATTCTATTAAAAACCGATCTTTTTTGTTCTAGTTTTCTTCATTTCAGGAAACTGCGCTTCTTCCTTAATCCACTGGTATTAGATGTAGGGAAAGGGTTGAGATCTGTGAAGGGGAAAGATGTCACAAATTGGTTCCCAAAAGCTGCCTGATTTTCCTCTCCTGCTTTGAACGTGAGGGTGGGAAAAAGAGGGGAATAAAAGGTCTCATCGCGGGCATTTTTATTCCGCCTTTCGAAAAATTTAAAATTCAAGAATCGTAATTAGTGTGCTAAAGTATGTGATGAGTGTATGTTATTGAAAGAAGATCGATTGACATAGTTCTGTTTAGCTGAGTACTAGGTGCAGTCGCTTTCACTTACAACGAACTTGCTTGTGTTGTGAACTGGCTCTCTGCATGCGAGAACTGTAGAAACAGATATGTGATGGCAAATTTTCTCTTAACAGTATTAATTTATATTTAACTTTATTAATCTACCTTCTGGACTTAATAAAAATAAAAAGATTTCGTTCAATAATTAAGTAGAAATGACATGTTTGATAATTAATTGGTAATTCATCATTTAAATAAGTTTCTATACGTTATATAACAAATATACTTTTTAGCATTCATGAAATATTAGCTTACATAAATGTATATTTTGAGCCATGTATTATTGTACGTACGCTCTGTTGCACGGTAAATCAGTTTTTTAAAATTATAAAATATAGTTTATATACGTAAGTCATGAAATTTTTGGTATATGTTACTAAACTTGTTTAGATTATAATAATGCTGCAGTTATGTAAATATTTTTTTCAAGTCTCCGCCTTTCATTTTGTTAAGAAAAGAGTTTACATGAAATAATTTTTTTGTCTTGTGTGTCCATGATATATCAGAAGAAGAACTGAAAGCAGATAATTCATAATTTGTATATATCTGTTGTTTCTCTCTTCTTTTTTATTTCACTTTCCTCAACTACAAATGTATTTCTGGTTTAAATTGAATTAATTCAACTAAGGTAAAGCGCATAAGACAGTTATCTGCATAAGTTCCATCACAATTTTGGTAGGGCATACCAAATTGCACTAGTAGAAGGTCAACTACTCTGCGATATTGACTTTTTTAGCTTTTGTGTTAGAAAAAACAAAAATTTGTACTCGCTGTCTGATTGCGACGGAAGGCTTAAGTGGCAAATTAGGTGGCATTAATTCATAATATTCAAAGTTTATGTTTTTAACATGAAGCAAAAACTCCTTTATACTGGATTATTTTCATAAACTGCAGAAATTTAATTTGAAAATTTAGTCGTAGAAAGTGCAATGCGAATTCTTTCGAGTATTTAATGTTAGCTCTACTGTTTCATTAACAAAAATGATTTTTTTGGGTTATGTTAACGTGGAATGCGATATTGCGACTTGAGAAAAACTAAAAATGTCTTTGTTAAATGGTGTCTTATTAAAGAATAGTTTCTCGTAATATAAAATGTCCCATTAGTAGTCGAATGGTCACTGAATACTAGTAATCGTTGAATCCTAGTAAGATTCGCTGAATACTAGCAATTCAACCAAGGTTCGAGCCCCAAAGAACGGGCTTGCAGTATGGCTGGTTTTCTTCCTGTATAGCGCGAATACGACGCAGTTCGAAGGCATTACGAAAGTTGAAAAAGATTCATTAAGGAATAGAAAAAAAGAATAGTTGCTGAGATCCAGAAGCCATGTAAAATTGTTGAATCTAAATGTTATTCTTTCTAAATTTTAATTACAGTTTGTTAAAATTTTATTTTTCTAGTCAAAAACTTGCTAATAAGTGGCATACAAACCTTTTTTTTATTCTCAAGCATTTGATAGGATATTCAGTCATGAGATAACTACGGCATTTTGCGACCTTTGTTTAATTTTGCAAAATGTATTTTCAACTATATTCTTGTTTCAGAACTCTAATGCTGATTTGAATATATAATTTTGTCTCTCGTATTGCAAATATGTCACAAAATTATACCTTGCAGGGTCTGTTGCTGAGCGGTGGCGTGGTCTCTGGCGGTGGTTGTTTACATGACATGAACCCTGAGCGTCGTGAAAAGCAAGATAACACGTTACCTCCTGATCCCAGAAGTCCAGGTTCATCTTCCACAGCGCTTTCCCTGGTTGAATTTAGGCCGATGATGAAAGTTCCGCCAGCATCTTCTCTTCAGGCCGGTAAGCACATTAAAAACAAATAAATAAATCTAACTTATAATTATTACTTAAAAATAACTATTCATTGCTACAGAGAAAGATATGAAGAGAAAAAGGCCAAAGAAGAAAATTGTGCAGACATCGATATTGCAGTTTTTAGAGAATAAAAATTGTTTACAAAAGATATGCATTTTTTAAAATTATTTTGATAAAGATTTTTGCATTTATTAATCGTCTTTTATTTACCGAAAAATAAGAAAGGAAAAAAAAATTGAAACCAATTATCATTTTCTATAAGTATTTAGTTCCTCATTTAGCTGAGATTTAAACAGTCTAGGATACTCTGCAGATCTGATTACCCGGACTTTTCGAGGTATTGCTGTATGTAAAATGTTGAATAGGAAAGCTACTGAAAATCGAATACTAACGCAAAATGTAAAAACGGCTAAGTGTTTAATAAAATTTAATTTTACTTTAAAAATTGTTTCTTTTTAAGGGAAATATTCAAGATTAAATGAAAGTCCAACAGTTTATTAAGGTCTAATAAAACATGCTTGCAAAATAATACTTGTTGTTGGATTCTTTAAACTCCTTTTAAATTTTTATAATTTCTGAAAGTTTAAAACTTTTGCTGTGCAAGTATTGTTTTAGATTGCTTTTTTGTTCAATTTAATACAAATTTCAAAGGAAATGAAATTACAGTCCCTTTATGCAAACTCTCTTCAACTGTGTGAGTATACCAACATTATTATGCAAATTGCCCATTTCCGTTTCTGGATAAAAATGCCGCGCCTTTATGTCAATGCTCCGATTCTCTATTATTGCTATCGCAGTTTTATATATAGGATGGTTAGTAGGCGGGTGGAGAAGACATATGATCTCGTTTGGATTTTAGTGGTTTGGTTTAATTTATTACGGCAAAGCACACTAGGGCTATCTGTCTTCGTGGAGGACTTTCTAAGGGATTTTAGTGGACCTCTTGTTATTAAGGTTTTCAAAAACTTTAACACGTATTCTGATTATATTTTCAATGAAACATCATTTAGCAGGGAAAGAAATCAAAATAAATAATGTAGCTTATATTTAAAGAACCTAAGATACTGAAGAAAAATGTTGTGTTAACTTAATGGCACAACAAATAACTAAATACACAGCATATTTCTAATACTCATTAACACATTATAATTACTGCCCAAAGAAACAAACTAATAGTTTCTTCGAGTAGCGAGCCAGTTTAACAGTTTAAAATTTAACTGCAAGCGTTAAGCAACCAATTTATTAAATTCTATAATTTTGAAGTGATAGTAATTCTTTAATACACTGTTTTTTCTTTAGTTTGTTTCATTTACATAGATGAATTTTACTATTTAATAATAACTGAATAAATTAATATATTTTATAAAATAATACTGAATATTTAACAAATCACTACTTTAGAGTTAAAAATGTTATGCTTTTAATTATTTAGCATTATTTTTAAAGACGTCTCAAACCATGAGAAAGTTAAAGGACGGCGTTTTGTCTGGCTGTTTTCGAAGAGGTTGGATTTCCGTGAAGTTTTTATTCGTTGCGTTTGGTATACAAATGCGCAGTTTCTGTGTAACGATGTCGGCCATTTACGTTAATTGTGATTGATCAAAGTGTTGCAGCTTGTGCAGCCCAGAATGGGTTTAAAGGGCTGTTATAATTATGTAACTATAAAGTGCCTTCCTCTTTAAAAAAAAAAAATACTACAAACAGTGAAGTAGAAATGTTTATTTTAAACGCATAAACTGCTGCACTAACAAATACTATAGCACTAAAAATGGTAGGTAATGCAGCGCCGAATATTTGATACTGAAGTGCATAAGAAAAATGACCGATATATGATATTTGAGATTAAAAACCAGTTGTGTTGTCGGCCACATGTGTGACTAACGCGACCCTAAGGGCTCAGTGAAGTGTCGGTCACATGTGCCCGACGGGGCAATATATGTTAAATAAAAAACCTATGTTTTCTAAGTTACAGCTAATTCAAATTGTACGTTTGTGTTTTTGACGATGTGAATGAATTTCTCGTTAAGATTTAAATTTAAGCCCTTATACAGGATATCTCCATGCATATATTTAAATATTTCAAAATTGGAAATCAGACCTTTTCTGTACCCTGGCATAATGATTAAGGGGTACTCAGTCGCGTCGGCAGGTGCGATAACTTTGTTTAGGTATTAGAAACTTGAAGCAGATAAAAATGTGTTACTCTCTATGAGAAATTTAAATGCTAAATACTGGAAATATGGTGTCCGATAACATCGCGGCAAAAACATCGTGGACGAAAACGTCGTGGAGAAAACAACGCAAGGTGAAAACGTCGTGCTACAAAACATCGTGGGAGAAAACATCGCAGTTCTAAAACATCGTGGTACAAAACATCGTCGTAGAAAATAAAGCGGTTCAAAAACATCGCAGTTTAAAAACATCGTCGTCGAAAAATATCGTGGTAAAAAATAAAGTATCTACAAATCATCGCATGACGATAACATCGCAGACATGCTTTTTTCAGGTTTTAATAATTGTAAATGGATATTCCCATAATGATTTGTGAGCGCAAGGTGTAAAGAAGGATAAATTTTACTTTCACATATTTTATTAACTAATAAATTTTTGCTGAAAACGTAAGAAGGAAACTTAAGCATAGAAAATTAAATGTAACTTATAGATTATACTTTTCATGAAATATTACCAGTAAAAACTTTATAAAAATGTTTTATTAATGGCCTTTGTTAGTTAACTATGTCTGTTTAAAATTCTATTAAGTGCTATACTTTGCATTAATTTTTTATGCTTAAGTTTCCTTTTTATTTTCTCAGCAAAAATGTATTAATTAATAAAAAATATGAAAGTGAAAATTATCCTTCTTTCCATCTTGCGCTCACAAATCATTATGGGAATATCCATTTACACTTATTAAAGCATGCCTGAAAAAAGCATGTCTGCGATGTTATCGTCATGCGATGATTTGTAGATACTTTATTTTTTACCACGATATTTTCAACGACGATGTTTTTAAACTGCGATGTTTTTGAACCGCTTTATTTTCGACGACGATGTTTTGTACCACGATGTTTTAGAACTGCGATGTTTTCTCTTTGCGATGTTTTCTCCCACGATGTTTTGTAGCACGACGTTTTCGCCTTGCGTTGTTTTCTCCGCGACATTTTCGTCTGCGATGTTTTTGCCGCGATGTTTTCGGCTGTAACCGGAAATATGGAACAGTCTGAGACGCGATATTTTAGGAAAGTGAAATTAACGGGGAAGTATATATTCCAATTGTCTGTGTCAAGCAGTTGACAAAAACTCTAAAAGCATTTGTCTAAGGTTAGTGACTGAACGGAGCCGTGTTGAAATAACGTATTGAACAGTTATTAGTTTTGTCGTAAAGTTTAAGAGCAGGCTTTTGGAAAAATATTTAAAAGAATTAATATTAATTGTTCTCCTAACTTTCGTGCAAGTTTTGAGTAAAAGACAGTATGAAAAGAAATTGTGAATACATTGAATTAGCTCAGATATGTGTTATTCTCGATTTAGAATCTCGGTTTAGATTATTGACCATTAATAAAAATATATATAATGAAGACGCAAGCGACAACTTTGAAAGAGCTGAGCCAAATTTCTCAGACTAATAGTAGAATTAAACAATAACAATATTAAATCCTTATTTTAGCAAGCACTGCGCAAATCCGACACACGCGTGAGTGAAACTGTTAATTTTTTCACTTGTACTGTAATATACTATTGCAGTTTTAGGTCATTAATTTTTATTTCTAATTTTAAGACATAGAACAATGTGAAAATTTTAAATAAGTAACAGACGAAATGACAGCGTCATGTGCAAAGCAAGTAAAATGGACGTTTATATTATAAAAAAGAATGCGTCGAAACGTTTTCGTTTTATTTTTTCTTTTGTCTGTATTGTCTTATCTTTATCTGTTTTCAGACACATTGTGTAAAAATATTTGGTAATTGTAAAATTGTTACAATAAGTTGAAGAAATATCAGAACTGCTAAAATTTTCGGCTACCCACAGTTTAAGAAACTCTGATCTAGTTAATCAGTTTCGTTGCTAAATGCGTCAACTCCAGTAGAAAAAATTTTTTCAACTATAAATAATATTTAATATTCAGAAAGAAGTATATTATAGGTGACAACAATAAAGGAAATTTTAAACTTGAATTCCAAATATTCATGTAGTGATTTATATGAACATACACAGTTGAACAAAGAATTTCAAAGAAAAGTATTAGCTGATGAAAAATACGCCAGTGAAACAAGAAAAATTCTAACTATCCACATCATCTTTCGAGTAGAAATGCATCAAAAATTCTACAATTTACTTTTTAGCATCTTAAATATTTTTTTATCAGTACTGTATAATTTCTTTTATACCATCTGTCGATATATAACTCACAATCAGTCCCCCCCCCCAAAAAAAGGTGGGGACGCAATTCTATATCTTCGATTCTACTGACCTTTTTTTTTACTTATTACGTACTCCGCCCTTAGACACTACACGGAAAGGAAGGGATGCCCCATGGAGGTCTTTTTAAGAAAAACTGCCTCGTATCCACGTTACACATGGGAAAGACTACGATAAAAGCCTATGCAGCCAGCCCGTTCGCCGGGACTTGAACCCTGGATCGAACTACCAGTGTTCAGCGGCTTTTACCGCTCTGCCGCTAGTGGCCCGGTTCTGCTAGGCTGATTGACGAAATTCAACTTACATTTTTCATGTCCAGAAAGAGCGACTTAGATTTGACAGGAGAACCTTAAGAAACCCCTTTGGGCGACTGTTAAAATCTTAAATCTTTCAGATTTATTTTTAATATTATTATTATCATTATGAGATTTGCGAATTTCTGCAAGATAGCATTCCATAATTAATATTTCATGAAAATACGTGTGTTAGATATAATGCTTAACATGTAGAGCATTACATTATTTATTGAAATTATAATGTATCAATTTCTAAATTAACACATGTT